ACTTTGATACCCAGTGTGTCGTCCGGGTTGGATTAGGTGTACGACAAGTAGCGGAAACTGACAAGAGTTATGTTACTTTTACCTAGGACGCGCACCTTTGTGTGAATCACCGGAGGTGTCCTCAACAAATGTTGCAAGTGGTTCTTCGAACTGTATTAGAGCCATGTCAAAACCACCGTCTAACACGACACTTTGTAGCTGCTTAAAGCAGCATCGGCTACATGTGTCCACCTGTCGGTACGACGATCAAATACTGGTACATGTACAGTGTTTTGGCCACTGACTTAAATATGATCGATTTTAAATCTATAGGGTGTATATTGTATTGTTGCCTAAGAATGTGTGACGTCACAGCGTTCCCTACCCGAATTGGAGGCGTGGCTGTAATGTTGATGCGTATTAATGAGGTGTGACGTAACGGAAAATATATATTAAGGAATGTCATGAATATTTTTCAAAGATTTGCGACGTCACTCCTTCTTGACGTCAGACATTCAAGAGTACTGTTTATATGATAAGGGCAATACCTTTGTATTACTTTTCATATTCGTTCTCGAAATGAAGCGTCCTCGGTTTTGTCTACGCTCGTAACGACCTTAGTCGGATTTCCCGTCCAATTTGTTCTTGTAATATCTCCATATTTCCTGATTCGACTCGTAAGATGACCATATCATATTGTTTTTCAGCGAAAAGATATTTTTTTCAAGCTTACTGTCAAGGTCACTTTTCTGTGATCATTATAAATTAGTTTCAGAGATTTCTTAGGAAAAATTCTTATTAACAAGGATAACTCCTTATCACACATGAAGGTGTCGTCGCATATATTGCAACACACGAAACAAATCGGGTCTCTTTGAGGAGGTAAGCGATTCTTATAGCTTCATGGAAAACTCATCAGGTTTACTGTCCTTGTGGACCAGTGCACTGTCTGAAGATATGAAAACCATGCGCATGTTATTTGTAATTTCCCGTAAACTTTTGATGAAAGAATCAGTAAAAAGTACTGATAGAATTTCCAATTTGTTGACCCAAGAATTTAATTGCATGGGCCAATGTAGCTAAGATACCATTTTACCGTTTCGCCTTTGACAGTTTTATTTTCAATACTTCATCGACGTTTTGGTACCCGAGTCTGTTCTGAGGACGAGTGGCTCCGATTAAAACATCTTTCTTAAAACTTTGATCAAGGCCGATGCTTTCTTTTGAGCTTTCTATGTACTCATTTGTTTAGCCCATGTGTCCAAAAGTGACGAGTCCTCGTTAAACCTATTTCATATTTTTTTCTCTCTCAAAAATTGGAGTTTTAAATTACCACTAAACGAAACCAGTTTTTTTTGGTTTGTCAATATTCTCTCAATATTGCTTCTTTGATCCAGTGACAACTCTATAAAAGGATATAGTGTATTTTATCCACTTTTCTGACATTTTCAGCTTGAGTGCCCTCGATTATAAACAATTACAGATGCAGATTGTCCTGTGTATACACACATATACTGAACACACGATCGTCTACCCAAACTATATGTCGTTACAACTCACCTGTGACCCTCCACCCGCAGCCCTACAATAATGGCAGTTAAAACACGTTATTTGTTAAGGAACGTTTATCATACACACGCGTTTTCTGTCGTCTGCTCTAAAATATTTACATTTGCATGGCATTGTCACTATATAGCCTCTTTGAAAGCTGTGTCGTTGATGGGACTTTAATTACCATGCATCACGAGACACAATTCTTAGCTTATTAATACAACACTGACCGGAACTACAATATCCAATATAAATAAAAATGACGGCTGCTGAAATATTGCTGGGCATTGTGACATTTGACAATGCCATTGTAAATTTATGTGCAAAATAAAAAATAAAATAAAAAACACTTTTATTACAACGAAAACAAGACCAATGTCTGCAATATCGTACAAAATGCACATCGGTTGAAATCACCAATGCCGGCAATGAAAACAATTTTAACGCTCATGCAATCCTACATGTATCAGAAATATCGTCTGTTACACTGCACTGATCAACAGGGGTTTGTTACAAATGTCTGAAATACACATATTATATAGACCTACTGACACATATGTTACAGACCTACTGATATGAGTCACAGCACACATAAACATTTCAGACAATTGTAACGAACCTGTGCTCCGTCGCAAGATCACTCACTTCAAACGCTATCTTTCACGCGTCTTGCATCCACCATTCCTCAGTTTCTGACGACATGTCAAGTAACGACGTTGTTATAGAATCTACCGACTGTTGTCAGGTTCCCATACAATTAACAAATACATTCACGCCTTGATTCATCACAAAATGAGCAAAGAGAAAAGTTCGAATTAACTTCCAAAAATAACTCCCTCGTGGAGGGCAAGGTCGGATTTACGGTGTTCACTGTATTTGTTCATGCGCGAAATTTGTTCCGGGGAAAAATCGAAACAATTTCAAATATAACTTTCAGTTTAGACTTCTATTGATAAATTTAAATCACCCTATAGACATATCATACGCAATTGTATTGATACTGAATTGTGGAATAAAATTGAAGTGTTTGTGGTACTTTGTTTGACAATCAGCACGCGACAATACGCTGTTCAAACTATTGAACGAAATTGTGTGGTCTGTCGATAACGCGATAATTTTTAATTTTAAATATAAATTATAAATTAAAAAAGAACATAAGAGACAGAGAAAACTTAAATATAAGTATTGTAACGCGCATTATGATTTGTTTGCTTGCAAAGCTGTGTTATTCAAATAGATCATAAATACCATACAAAAACAGTTCAATGCTTAATTATAGGTAAGAGGGTTACTCATCTGTGAAACTCTACACTGATATTACACCTGATACACATAAACATGTCGATTATTGTAATTCCGTGGACCCTTTCGGAGGGTTAACATGCCTACTGAAAACATAGATATGTGGATTAACAGTTCCCCTCGACTTTTAGTTCCCCAACAACGATGTGTATGTGTATGAACTCCTCACTAGAATATCAGCTTTTCAAAATAGCATGGTTAAGTTGGACATTCTCAAACCATGGTTCTCAAACCTTAATATTTGAATATTATACAGAGAGTTCCCATAATGANAACAACGATGTGTATGTGTATGAACTCCTCACTAGAATATCAGCTTCTCAAAATAGCATGGTTAAGTAGGACATTCTCAAACCATGGTTCTCAAACCTTAATATTTGAATATTTTACAGAGAGTTCCCATAATGTGATTGTTTTGGACGGTCTTATGGCTGAAGCTGTTTTTTGTTCTGTCTGACGGCTCAGAACCTATATCTGAGGATTATGTTCAGTTTGGGTAAATAATACATGCTGAAAGAACTGTCCTATAGAGTATGTCACATCTTATTACAGCAGCCTGTTATAGGGTTGACATTTTTTTTTCTTCTGTTTTTGTATTTAAGTGCCGATTGATATGGCTTATGTTTAAGATTTGTTTCTTTAGAAGTCAGATTTGCCTTATTTAAAAGCAGTTAACAGATTATTTTTTTCATTTTTTTTTATTTTCGGATTTACTTGAGTGGATTTGGTCGACATACAAAAAACAGAAAGGAAGTTTGTCACCTTAAAATCTAAAACAAAAACATATAAAAACAATTGGGCTAACGACACAAGCAAAATAAGTATGTATGACCAGATATGAAATTAAACCAGTTATACCAGACGTTAAAAGTAATAAACACTTACAAAAAAACATATATTGCAGCGTATGGGTGAGCCGTTTCACATTTCAATCCATTGACCGGCATTCAAGTTATATGACTTTAACCATTAAGCACTGTATCTGTTCTTGCTTTCTTTTCGAGTTAGTGATGTCTTTATAGTCTTCATCAAAATTATAGCTCCATGACTTTCCGAAGGCACCATACCTCCCAAAGACCTCAAATGCGTGTTGTTGATACTGTCGGTGAGTTTTTTTTTTATTCGCTGACGACTGATTTTTGGCAAACGCCGTGTGCTATATGTCTTTTAAAGTGGCTAGGCTTTACTGTTGACTAATATTACGTGTTATTTGTGTGGTTATGTTATGTACGGAAAAATATATTTCAGTTCCGAAGAATTATGAATCAGACGAATCTGATACTTAAAATAAAGGATGCAATGTGTTTATTTTTCACTCCTCCAATCTGTTCTGATGGTGTGCACTTTGAAGACAACACATCACTTTTGGCTTTGATGTTAAGCGTTCGCCCATGTGAGGAAGGCAATGGGTTCTGTCCCAAGGCTGGGATAAACCAAAGTCCTTAAATATTGTAGATGTTATTCATTGCTTAACGTTCAGCATTAAGGGGAATGGCAACAAGTGGTTCACCTGTTGTCAGTATAATGCGACCTGGCGGATTGTTGTGCTGGGTGCCTTCGGCATGGTATTTCAGTGAGACTGCACTATAAAATCGGCATCAGCTTCGCAATATCAAAAGGAGCCGATCGCACGGAAAAAGTGGGGTAAGTGGTTTAGATGGAAAAAAACTTGACATATTATAAAGGACTATACCCATCAATCTAAAATAATCGGACACTTAGGTTATTTAGTCTTATTTATTTATTTATTACTAAAGTGTATCGAAACGAATGTATCATACTGCAATAAAAGACAATAGTAAAAAGGAATTTGTGTTGTAGACCGAGGACCACGACATGGGAGATGTCAAGCGAAAGCAATTTTAACACTTACGTCAATATTCTTCACATATTACAGTCGTTTATAAACATATACTATGCTTTTTTCGTGCTAATAAATACGGTTTTGTTAAAGAATATTGAAAACGGGATTAGTTGGGACGATATCGGTTATATTATTGATACGGGTATACCGCAGAGAGTGTTTGTTTCTACATTTTCCAATACATTGTGCATAAATGTGTCATTTATAAAGGATCTATGAACTTACCCAATATAAATGAATTTAGAGTAAAATCAAAAGTGACTATAGATTCGATGTCAAATTGAACTGCCTGAATTATGCAAACATAATCCCAGATAATAATCAAAGTTTATGCGCTAGATAAAAATAGTTGATTAACTCGAAGATCATGTTTGTGAGTTCCAATAATATTTGTTCACATGTTAATGTATTAAGTATATGAGTTATTTGAATTAAATCTAACATTATGTATGTCCCATTCATTTGGTGTTTTTGCACAGTTAGATATGTTTCTGTGTACGCATGTTCCATGCGTACATACTAAGGTGTGCTTAGTAAAATATATGTAAGTGTTTTAACAGGAGAAACAAAGGAAATAATTATTAGTTTATTAGATATCTATAATATTTTATTCTATAGTGAAATACTCACTATTGCTGATTTAACCAATCAAAACACTGAATGCAAACTACAATGCAAAGCATGTGTTTGTAACTTGTCTTTTATTTATCGAAATCATAATTCTCAACAATTATACTGGTTGTCAATGATAAGACAGGCAACCCAATTCTCGTTTTTAAACATTTTAGGCACAAGATACCAATTTGAAAACAAAGCCAACATCAATCAAATGAAGAACTTGATTCGTAACGGTTAAAATATCCAAAATGGCCTCTCAAGTAAAATATAAGGGAAACAGATAGAAACCGAACAACACTATTTTACCGCAACGATTCTGTATACTTTCCTACAGAAAAACTTTATTTATATCGGGACTGCTTTTGTCCATTTCAGGTATGGATATAGATATTGTATTTGATTAATGTTATTATGACGGTTTAAAATACATTTAAATAGCAAAGCACAACTGTTATTTTACCTTATGTTAACGTTAATACAATATCGCTGGTATTTTCTAAAAGGATCGAATTTATAACAGCAATTAAATCAGATGCCGTATTTAAAGCGCAAAAATCCTTTAAACGCAGAATAACAACTTGAGCTCGGACGCTTCAAGCTTTAATATTTTTAATCCTTGCTATCCAAGGTTCAAAACAATAGATGACCATGCATACTAGCTTATCAGTGGGATCTACTGCTTTTAAAACATTTCAATCTCAATTCAACACGAGAACGAATACTTAAATAGAAATAATTGTATACTGTATGCATATTTAAATCACCCACCTTAAAAATAGATAACACACAAATACATCACAAGGTAAACTACTTAAGTACCGAAGCTTATCTAGCGAACAGGTCATCTGAGACGGAACATTTAAAAAATTGCTTTCACAATATTTCAAGTAAGTCGTCTTTTTTGCTTGACCATATCAACCAAGTTATAGATCTTTCCGGAATAATTATTTTTTAACAATAGAAACTTGTCAAGGACCTCAACCATAAGGACATGCGCAATCAATAATATTATTGGTACACTCATGTGCCGAACCCTGCTGCAGGAAAGATTCACACCATGAGACGTAGTCAACATTTTATTGTCGTTATGTCCTTGTCAGTGTTATGAGTAACTGATTTTTCTCGTTGATTTTCATGTATATTTCATTCATATTGTAGTATTATCGAATATTTTCACTTTTGGTTTCGCACTCATGAAAAAATAGCGGATTTTTACCATACCCCTGAGATGTATATTCTTCTCAACAGAGAGAAAAGATAGATATCACTTATATCTTTTGTAATGAAGAAAAAAGGAAGGCACAGTGGACTTAACGATGTAAAAAAGTAAAGTAGAAAAGACAGATAAACAAGTAGACGGACAACAGAGAAACATTTTGTCTGAAGCATACGCAAAAAGATCTGTTATATAACTTTCAATAGAGAGGTCTTATATGTTAAAATATCTAAAATGTTTAAAAAAAAACATCAGAAGAAATAACGTAGGTTGATTAAATGTATAGATATAACCAGTATCCCCGAAAATAGATGCATTGCTCTTTATAACTTTTGTTATTTCTGATAGCAGAGTCTTTTTCATATCCATGCTCTTTAGTAATGAAACTGAACTTTTAAATATTACATAACATTTACTTTGGTAAAGCTAAGATATACACACATTTATCTTTAGTCTTCATATCTATCTAGTGACAAAAAATTATGCGGTTCCTTTGAATAGACTTGTCCCAATTTTAAGGGTCTAATATCAAATTGTCATTATGAAATGGGTTATTGGAGATTAATGCTAAAACATGGTGAAACTATATATAAAGCGAATCTGAAGAATCCTGTTGTGGACCCAGACATTGACTTTGTATTTGAAACACAATAACAAGGTAGTGACCTTTCTGTGTATTAACGTACAATTGCACGACTGCTTGTCAAGTTTAAACGCCGGTATTGCGAGCGTCTATAAGGACAAGGCATCCATGCTTCTTGTAAATTACCCGTGATTTTCTTGTGAATTACCCAACCGTCAAATATAACCTTTTATGTGTCAAGGACATTTGTGTGCACCTTATTTTTACCCTTGTTGCGTTTTATCACAGATGCAAACCTTTAGAACTAGCTGAATAGGTTTTCCATTGAGGTGACACCCTTTTTTCGTTATTGTGAAATGGGGAAATGACAAAATCAATGTCTGTGTCTACTTTTATTTGTCTTATCATACAAACATGTATGAAGGAGTTTTAACAAATGGTGAAAATACTTTTTGTAACGTTTTAAATAGTCATCTTATGCTTTTGCCAAATCTGTTAAAAAACGATAGTTTGTGCCAACATGATCAATTTGACATATTTTATTGTTTTCTATATTTATTGCTATCAAAATGACGCGCAGTTCCAATTATTTGATTCGATATATATATATATATCAAGCCAATACAATGTCGAAATTGTGGGGGTTTTCTCAGAAAACCTGTTTGTGTTAAATGTAAATTTCGGTTTTCTTAACAGGCCAAAAATTATAATGTGCTTTTTTTGGTCTACTAATGTACTGATACAAATCTATATAGTTTTATGATGTCTATGGTCGTTATAAAATGTATAAATTTCTAGCGCTGTATTATTTTCCGGCAGCGTTCGTCGTTAAGAATGTCACACTTTGGCCTATACTCCCATTACTGAATTTTATCTTTATTCTTTAATCATATGAATAGGTTCTCCCTATTCTCACTGCTTCTAGATCAGAATTAGAGAGATAAATTATTTATTTTTCCAAATATGACAACATACCTGTCGATATTATTTCACATGTACCTCTATTCTTAATATGCATCGAGTTTAACACATCGGTAAAACAAATCAAATACTTAAAACAAACACATTGAAAATCAAGCTTATAATTAGGCTCGAATGTTCATGTATGTTAAGCCGCTTTGTCATATCCGAGTTTAGCACTAAAAATCAAGCTTATCTGATATGGAAAATTGAACGTTTCAGCAGACCTGGAGAAGTCACATGGTCTTCGTCAAGCATATACACGTAGTTGTGTAAGGACAAGTGATAAAACCCAGAAAAAAGCGACTTTTAGATTTTGTACAGAACTGTCATATCTCTCTGGTCGTATGAACGTAGTTCGACCTATCCTGTAGTTCACATGTGTGTGCTATAGAGGAATTGATATCATGTCCCTGGGTGCTGTTGGGTTATCATATCAACACATTAATGTATAGTTAGTTACATTGCTATATATTTTGCTGTTTTACGATACATGTACATGCATAATTTGTTTTAGTATCAACAAATACAGTCCTTGATCAAATCTCCTTAATATTCGCGCTCACGGTTGTTTAGAAGAATGTAGTATCGTAATTGCTTGCAAAGTAGCTCTTACGTAATAATATCAGCCTTCACACAATTTTAACCGTATACTGTATGTACGCTTAACGTTTTCCTGTAGACACCAGACATAACTCGTATTAGTTACACCATATGCAAACATGTTTGACTTACGCATGTGTAAAGTAATGACAAAAGCCTTCACAAGGTTAAAACGTAAACTTAACACACAATACACAGTCTTATTGACATCAATTATTTAGATGAAATGCTGTCATAGTAGTAATACATACCTTCAGACTCGTTTCAAACACTATAGAGTTCCATTGACATTTTACTTCCTTTATACTTGAACGTAAAATTATTCTTTTTTCCACGAATCAACATATTATCCTCATTGCTATTAATATATAAATGGCGCATAAATATAAGAGAATGATTTTTGTCCGTTTCCCGTAAATACCTACTCAAATGATCTTGACTGACATTATAACGACATGAAAGCAGCACATATTCTACATCAAATGTATGTCCCTATCTTTATAAGGATATCAAAAGGATCTTTCCCATTTACGAAGTATGAATGGGGAGTAATTGAACACAACCTATTTGACCCATTTGGAGGATTCATCAGAGTGAGGTAAAGATTAGGGGCAAACTATTAGAGAAAATGTAAATTCTTTTATACCAGTATGAAGGGTCTTGCCGACACCTACATATACTGTTTAAAAACGTGATCTGCAGATGGGATTGACTAATCAACAGTAGGATATACATGTATATCTTATATGTATTTCTTTACGTATACACTTCAAAATACCAAACCAAGTGATCTTATATGTCATTTAAATTCATCAGAAAAGTTACGTACCTTGGTCAATGTCAATCACTCGTCCTTTGTGATCTGATCTGTCCTGTAGAGGTTTGTGGTAGTTACGTGTACCTGGATGTTTTTTAACGAATCGTTTGGCATTCACTACATCGCTATTTTTAGTAACAGTTTACCTCGTTGTCCCATATTGAGACAGAATATTGGGTTTGCTATAAAGAATCTATATTGGTGACACGTAGATTCAAAAGAGGCATATTGTCACACAACTGATCGGATAGCATTATTTGTACCACGAGTACACTAATAAGTTTAATCGACTTAACGAGAGGGGTACTTGTAATTAAGGACATCAGATCCATTGGGTTACTCAACTTTCTCCAAAGCAAATGACAAAAATTAAAGTCCCCTATTTCTAAGTTTTTATAAGACCATTAAGAGAGCAAGGATTAGTGTATAACTTAACAGGACAGTCCTTTGTCTTTACATCTATGATGGGAGATGGCTTAACGGTTTATTGTCGCCCGTGTATTTATAAAAAGTGTATTATAGTAATATTCTTGATTTTTCTATACATACTAGTAATATTTAACTCGAGAATAATAACGGTTATTTATCAATTAAACTAATAACATCTCCATATGTTCGAGTATGCCTAATTTATATTCGAGGTAAAAATACACACAGCATTGTTAGTATAGGTAGCCCAGTCATAAACCTTCCGTATGATTGTATAGTACAAAGGTAGTCTAGTGTCGTAATGTAGGTTTTGTATAGCTCTGACGTCTCGCACGATTACACATGCAACGTGATATGACTTTGTGTGCGCCCTTGTTAGTTGACTAGACATTTGTGAATTCTGTATCGGTCCTCACAGCAATAAAAAAAACCACTACTGTTTTAGTTTTTTGTTGTTATTTATTATAATTATTGTGGATTGTTTAAAGTTCCCAAAGCAGAAGACAAAGCAGAAAATCCCTGACTTTAATTTACAGTGGTATAAAGGAGGAATATTCTTTCTTTTAACCTGGACTAGGTTATATATCTGTGTGTGTTGCTCACTCACTTAAATACGAATCATTAATCGACTAGAATAAAAGAGGTAAACAAAAACGCTCGCATTAAAACAATAGGTAAATTGGCAAAATAAAGTTAAGTTAAGGCACAATTTCTCATATTGAGTTTTACTCCTAACTGGCCTTTCTGAGAGAGAAGATTAGAGTATTAGTGTCCCAGCATCTAAGACGAAGATAGATTGTCCGTTTATGGGAGATCATATGTTTATATGAAATGTTATTATAAGCATCATATTCTTGATTTCGTGATGAATAAGTTATATTTCACTCGGAAATAGTTTTTCATGAAAAAACATCCTGTAAATATTCGGGTATGTTTAATTTCTATAAGCGTTAACAATAAACACAATATAGTTGGTGTGGGTAACACAGCCAGATAACATTCTGAATGATCGATAGTACGAAGGTAGTGTAGTGCTATATTGTAGGTTCTGTATACCTCGGACGTCTCGCACGATACCAAATGTAACGTTATATGGCTTTCTGTTTACGCCCTCGACACAATAAGACACGTGACCTGCCAGTTGTTTATCAATAACTCATTTGACTGCAAAACAGTGTCAAGGGAGGTAAGTATTACATTCTTAACCAAAATGATCAAATGTTTATTAATATTGACTAACTTGTGTTTGGAAAGCTGAAATCATACTTTCTTTCAGATGATCAAAATATCATGCATACTCAACCTTAATGAAATGTTAATGAGTTAATGAGCAAATTAAGATTGTGAACAGTATACAGTTTAATGTTCTCTTTCGGTAGTCAATCATGGCTGAAATAACACTGCACTGTTCTATCCTATTGCGTATTTAACACATAGAGGATACGTTTTTTCCGTTTTACTTGATATCACTTACCGCTTTTCAGATCCTTTTGTTTTTATGTCAATATTATTATGATTTTGTAGTTTATTGCCGGTTGATTTTTCTTTTCCTGATATGGCTTATGTTTAAGAATTTCCTTGAATGAGTTTGATTGCCATCAAAACAAATAAAACAAAACAAAACTAATTGTTGTTAATGTACAGTAATGCGTAGTCTTAATTCATATCCGGTTTGTGCGGTATAAATTTCTTCAAGCTATTTAATTTTTAATGAGTATATTAATTGTGTATACAACAGTTTATTTCTGTTTCGATTTTCGTTTTGAAACTATTTGCAAAAACATAGTTTTCACATTAAATAAGTATACAAAATATACCACAACTTTGTTAACGACATGTTTAACAGTAGTGGCAATATGTGTGGTATTCCTCTTTGTATCAAATAGTGCCTAGCAGACGTGAAGGTTTTTGGTTGTCTTTTATAGTTCATAGTCGTCTTGTTTCCAAAACAAATCACTTCCTGTTCTCACTTCCATTGATCGGACTTTACTTCGTAACAAACGGTATGATATCTGTCTCTTCGTTTTCCGCTCTCTCCGTATAGATGAACTCATGTAGGTTAACGCAATAAACCACACCACAATAGTTTCTAATTTTAGAGAACATTCTGTTCTTAACGTAAGTCAAAAAAAAAATTATATCCGGTAATTCGTTTTATATAAAAAAAATGAATTATTACGATATCAACTCATTAATGTGCATGTTAAAACGGTCACTGTTTCATATACCTTAATTTACTGGGGGGGGGGAATGTTTATTTGAAGATGTTCCTTGTAGTTTCCTGCGTAAAATATGCCAACGTAACGATAAGACAACGCATTAAAAATGTGAGCAGCATATGTGTCGGTTAAGTAGACACTATCACAACAATAAGGACGCGCAACTCTGTGGCAATTACCGGAGGTGTGTCCTCAAGAAATGTGATATCGACTTTCGTTATAGATTAAGTTTTACAATTTTTAGTTTTATAAGTATCGTTGATAATTTCTATTTACAGAACGTAGCAATGTATATATCATAATAGAGGTCCATCAGAATACTGAAATAGACGTATGTAAATGTAAGCAATCAATGGGTAAAGAACGACGATGGCGATTAGTTAGTGTGTTTATATGCAAATACGTCGTGAACCTTTCCCTAGAATTTTAATTAGCCAGAGGAGTAAGATTACAATTACCAGTACCGATCCCCTAAGGCTTTTTACCCCTAAACACCTCTGCCTCCCTTAGTTTGGCTCCCGTAAGATCTCCTTACAAGTAAGTCACCTTCACACCTTTGATGACCTCACCCCAGGGGTTACTTGGGTAAGGTCGAGTGTCCCATTATAAGCTTTGAATTGAACAACTAGGTGTTAAGAGAATAAACTGTTCATTTCGATGCTCTTATCAGGGGCGGTTCCATAAATGTTTTAGATTTCCAGATTTTGATACTTTAGCAGCGCATATTAGTGTTCCAGCTAGGATTTAAAAAGGGCAGGTCGCTGACCAGAAACATAGGGCACTTGTTAGCTCTCCAGATGTTTTTTAAAGGGCATCTTTATTAGCTCATCAGGTGTTGGTGGGTTTTTTTGCGGTGGAGGTGTGTGTGTTTGTGTGTGTTATAATGATGTTAATGTACCAGTGACCTCTGGGTGCGTGTGGGAGCGTGTGTGTGTGTGTGTGGGGGGGGGGGGGGGGGGGGGGGGGGGGGGGGGGGGAAGTAAATTATATACTTCATATACGCCATACCAGGCCATACCAGGCGGGACTCTTATAAAATAATAATAGAAATTAACAGAAAAAATTGAAATCAGAAAGAAAAAAACCAACAACAGGGTTCTGAATGTAAATATCAATCGGGCTTAGAACTTCAATTTGTTATACTACCGCTGTATCCAATCGACAAACAGGTCATAATGAATCAACTGCCTTAATTGCGATACGTATATACAAATATAATGAAGGGGGGGGGGGGGCTACTGTTTATGTATTAATATATTTTACAACAATTTCGATACAAGCATTGTTACATTTTACTAGTGAAATTTTGAAATTTATTGATTCTGTAAAAAGAGATATTTTTCACTGAATGAAATAAAAAGTAAAAATGATAATGAAAGGTATTGCTGTTATTGATTTTACCAATCAAACACTGATTACAAACTACTATAAGAAAAATAAAACAATCAGAAATCCTGACATTATACAAATAGCCTAAGTGTTCAAAGCTTAACGATACGCAGGCCTAGAATAAATCTGGCCGGGACATCATCATATCAACTGCCATGAATAATCATTTGTTACCTATCATGGATGAACTATGCTCTGGGGGAACCACAATGTGTAATTCCACAGTTATCTTTCATTTTCATAGATACCAGCAGACTATGCAGGCCCTCGAATTCTAACTATTTGACCTGAAGAAACTCATGTCAAATTTAACAAGGTGTCAGAGTCTCCATGTCCAAAGTTATAATAAATGATTTCCAAAAAGGTACAAGGGAAACAGGATCATCTCTGAGAGTGAAATATTAAGTATAACTTACAAAGTTTGTGTTTATAGTTTAAAATCGGGGTAAATGGTGATACAACTTTGCATATTCCCCCACCATTTGAGACTCAGCGCTTGTGAAGTACGCGTCGTGATCTGAGTTGATATGACACGACGTTAATTTAATACAGTAATTTATCATACTTTGTTACAAATATTAACTATGGTACCTACTTGGTCGGGTGCGCAGTCACAAACACACACTCTCTCCCTACCCCACGATCCCTCTCTCTTAAAAGAATAGTCTTCTTCTGCCCTTCAATCTACTGAAGGCGGGGTTGATGATCTTGTTAAAGCATACACATCTGGTATAGAAGCTCTTATAGAGAAACACGCACCTCTGCAGACTAAGGTGATAACTGTGAGACCGAATGCCCCGTGGTATAATGAAAATCTACGCGTAGAAAAACAGAATTGTAGAAAAGCAGAGAGACAGTGGCGACGGACCAAATTTAGCGTTCACCAACAGATTTATAGATGTCGGCTAGTTGGTCCACGTCTCATTCAGTCAAAGAAGGCTTATCATTCGGAAAGAATCGAGGCATGTGATAAGGATGATAGACAGCTTGTTAGACTCACCAAAAACCTAATGGGCCAGAAAGGTGAAATTATCCTACAAAGCAGTAATTCTGAAGAAGACTT